CCCCCTGTTCCTCCTCTTATTCACCTTTTCTAGCTCTGCTGTTATCACTCATCTGCGTTTGCAGCTCTGCCGTGTTTATCGGTGCAGCAGCAACCTTCCAAATAATCTAAACCTGTCAATTGATCTGTGGAGGAACTGGCCGCTCATTTGAGCTGTGTTCAGTAATTACAACCTGGGCTACAGTTATGGCTGTTTATCGGCACCGCTTCAGGTGTTGCTGGGAAATTGGGGTCAATTACATGATCCTGCAAAAATGTTTAGTGCTTCCGACCAGGGTGTAGCTCATTTCTCCAGCTCTTTCCCAGGTAAAACCTGGCCCACAGGCACATGTGCATGTGTAAGCTCTCAGTGCAGTGAACAGAGCTAATGCACTCATTTCCATATTTATTCAGCCAGAGCACACAAACCACAAGAGGTCTGCAGCAGTAGGCAGGAGCAGCTCATTATCTGCGTGATATTTGTTTTAATTGATCTCATCTAAGAATTAACTTTACATTTGTTTTGATTGCACTGTGAAGTCACGCGTTAAGAAATGACCCTAAAGATGCGCTTGTGCGTGTGCGTGTGTGTGTGTGTGTGTGTGTGTGTGTGTGTGTGTGTGTGTGTGTGCGCGTGTGTGTGTGTGTGTGTGTGTGTGTGTGTGTGTGTGTGTGGAAGGGGGGGTATAGGAGGCTGGTTTGTAAACATTGAAAATATTTTTTCTGTAGAAACTAAACTAGCAAACACAGGTAGTAACACGTTTGTTTTTATGAGTGAATTTAGAACGTTTGCAGTCTAAAGGTTTGACAGACCTTCTCATCTCAAACGTTGGTGTTTTGTTGGTGAGTGATCTTGCCTAAAGTATCAGGCTATTTCTCTGGTTTGCGTCGGTTTAGCCAAAAGCCAAAGGTCTTGTGTTACTTTACCATCTACATTTTCTCAGATTAAAAAGAAAAATGTGGATTAAATGTGCAGATCCTCTGTCCAGCTGCTTCACCCTCCTCAGGGGAACCTGCGGGTGTTTGAAGCGAAGAGACGAGATCCTCCTGCCACCAGATTTGTCTGATGGGAATAGCTTGAACGTTTTACAACTAGGATGCTGTCTGGCTGCAATTACTGCAAATGTTTGAGTTTGTCTTTTAAAGGCAATGTTTAAAGATGACAGTGTGACTAAAATCTTGATTTCTGCCTCTCACCCCGTCTGTTTGTCCTCCAGATGTTCAGTCCAGACTACTTTCATGTGTGTTTTCATTTAAACCAAAAACATTTCTTGGTGTAAATCAACCTTGAGTGTCATTTTTTAGACATGTTAAACCAAAAAAAATAATATTGACTTCCCTATTAAGATCCCTAAAACCTCACTTTTTATTTAAATCTCCCTGTAAGCCTCACCTGTACTGTCTTCTGTTCCTTTTCAGGCCCACCTTCCGGTACTTCACCTGGCACACTTGCGCATTGGGCATCATTGGGTGTGTCGTCATGATGTTCCTAATCAACGCCATCTATGCCTCGGCCAGCATCGCCTTCATGCTGCTGCTGCTCCTGCTGATTCACTACCTCAGCCCCACATCCAGCTGGGGATACATCAGCCAGGCGCTCATTTTCCACCAGGTCTGACAAACACACACGCTCAAAGTCATTCAGACACACGCTCACAATGCTGCCCTGTCATTACTATAGCAACTAAAATCTCATCCCTTCCGCTTTACAAGATCCTGTACCTCAGCCAAGCCATCGCTCTATCAGGTTTATGGACCTGCATACACACAAACACTGAGTGGCTGCTTTCTACCGCCTCACCCAATAGATTTGCATTTAGCAGACAGACACACACATTCTGCCTGTTTCTTTTTTTCCTTCTCCCGTATACACATTACACCGTGTCATTCCTACAGCAGCTATCTATCAACTTTATATCAGGCTCACCAGACATGAAAACACTCAGACACACACATCTGCATCTATTCCCTCGGCTAAGCTCTTTACATTTATGACACGCACACACACACACACAGCTTTACATCATCCAGTTCCCAGTGTCCTCTGTCTGCTGTTTGTGAGAAGAGGGGCCAGTGTTGTCAGAAGGGCCGGCTGCCGAGGGGTTGCTGCTGCCAAGGCAGCAGGCTGGGGTTACAGGCAGGGAGTGTGATGCTGGTGGGTTCTGCCAGTAGCTTGTCAAGAGGCAGAACATTATTACAGCCACTTAACTTATAGCATTTTCCTCCACATAAACATTCCCCTGTCCTTCCTATTTCTCTCCCTTACCATCCTAAGACGACGTCCGCACCAGTTAAACATCGTTCAACCCTGAAAACGTGATTTACCCTCACCCCATCTCATAAAACTGGCTAAAGATTTCCATTAACAAGTTAACTCATTTAAGTTGCTCCACCCTGGGTTTATTTCATGGCCAAACTTTCACTAGGCACAACTTTGTGGCTGTAGGCAAGGGCGTCGGACTGGGGGGGGGGGGGGGGGGGGGGGGGGGGGGGGGGGGGGGGGGGGGGGGGGGGGGTACCGTTTACCAGGGCCCACTGCAGGGAGGGGCCCTGAGACAGCTTTGAATAAAAATGTTTTATTGTTGTTGTTTTTTCCCCCCAACTTACTTAATGTCTTAATAAACTTCCCTTTACCTGGATAAAGAGGTTAAGAAACAGAATTTCGCCTTAAAAATAATAACTGAATAATCTCTGAGGCATCTATCACCCCTTAAAAATGTGCAAAGTGGTTTAGTCCACACCTGCGGCCAGGGCACGACCGCATGTACAGCTATGAGACATCGCAGCCAGAGCTGGAGGCAGGAGAGTCAGTCATGTCTTTTCCCAAGAAAGGGAAATCTGGCTTCCAGGAAAGAGGGAGAAGGAGAAGGAGAAAAAGTTAATTGAACAGAAGCAAGTATTGACTAGGTTATTCAAGAAGGAAGGTGAGCAGCAGCAGCAGAACACAGTTTTAGCTGATATTAGCTAGCTCTCAGAAGCTGCATTCATGTTAGGTGTTCAGTGTTAAACGCCTTTTAGTTTCACCATCAAGATCAAATATAAATTAATTAGTGTTATCAGTGAAAACACTAATAAATATATATATATATATTAATCAGAATTATTATCGCGGGCGGCTGCCGCCAATTAATTCGCGGACCTCGCAGTAAAAACAGGTTCACTCTGTGTGGATATTTCAGCTCCTTCCCAGTCATGGACCAGGACAAACTTGGTATCGATGGATTCGTGGTAATCTCAGGAATGTGAAGCTGCCACTGTTTTTCGTATAGCATGATGACACTGGTGTTAGAGGATTGTTATTGACTTGGTTAGATATGTTAAGCCTATTTTAAATTTCTTTATATTTGATCATGAAAACGGACAATCTTATAATTTGGCTAATAATGCAGGGATTATAAAATTTAGAGTACATTACATTCACAGAGAGAACCTGGTTTATTTCGTGTCATATGTATTTAATATATCAATATATATCAGTATTAGCAAAGCTTAACATCATGAACCATGACAGACATGACTGAAGAGCAGATGAAGATATCATGCCAGGCACTGATGAGAAAATATTACAAGGATCTCACAGCTGAATTTGAGAATGAGATGCTACACCTGAGAACAATATATGGTGCCACATTTCCACACATTCGGTCTCCTCTTGAGCTGCTTAATGCTATCTACAGGATGCAATTACAGAGCATTTTTGGAGAAGTTTGTATTGGACTGAGGATATTTTGCACACTACCTGTGACTGTTGCTGGGGGTGAACGGGCTTTTAGCAAACTGAAACAGGTGAAAAATGATTTGAGATCAACAATGTCCCAGGATAGACTGAACAGCCTAGCTCTTCTTTCTATTGAAAGCCAATTAGCCAAAGGATTGGACTTTAAAGATCTCATAAGTGATTTTGCTAACATGAAGACCCGTCAGTGGGCATTTACTGGAAAATAAATTCCAGGATTTTTGTTTGAACACATTGTTGGCAAATAAAAATAATTATATGTGAAGTCTGGGCATTTCACTTTTATTATGCTGGCATTTGTATTTGCTCAATATAGAGGTTAAACTAAGATCATATTTATTATCTTGTCTTATAGCATGACAAAAATTGTGTAAGAGAGATATTAAGTAATTGAGCATGGGGGCCCACCTAGAAGACTTGTACCTAGGGCCCAGAATTTGGTGCTACGCCCCTGGCTGTAGGACTTTTAGGCTCTTTGGAGTTTGTTTTCATGGGAAAGAGGGACTTTGCTAATGTCATTAATCTTAACATTTAGGAGTGTGTGCAAACATAACAGAGGAAGCAGCAAACCCGGTGATAATATTTGTGTCATTCTCATAGCTTTTGGACAAGCCTGTGCATTTTTCTTCCTTATAAGTGAGCTAAGATAGAGCTCACAAAGACGAGTCAAATAATGAACAGTAGTTCCTGTTCTGAAGATGTAACGAGTGAGGAGACTTGCTTACAGAAGTCATCATATTCTGTAAAGCCTACCGTGCAAGGACACAATTACTGTGAAATTCTTAATGGAAAATCATTAACTAATTTTCTTGTTTTCTATTGTGACAAATCAACATGTTACTTCCAACTATTAGGCTGTAGTGAAAACGGCAGTGGAACACAGTGGTGTGCTGATATTCACAAATCCATACATGAGGTCTGCACGCACACAAAGTATGCACAACTACGCTGCCACCTTAAAAGCGTCGGCCCCTAGGTGTGGCAAGTTTACGGAGAACTGATGAACTGATGTTTCAAAGGGGGTATCAAAATGAGTTAGCCAATGAATGTCTGGTTGTAATTTGTGGTCTTAAATGGTTTCTCCCCTAAACATTGAAGCACTTTATCAAGCCTAGCCTGGGCCAAACCTCAGCATTAAAACCCTGTTGGTCTACAGTCATGGGCTATAAAAAATAATAGTTATTACCAGATTTAATTCCAACCTAAAATGAAGTGGATCATTTGGCATTCATTTAATATGCTGAATACGCAGTGTATATGTGGCTTTTGTATTGTGTGTAATGTGTTTATTAGGTAATTATTCATTTGTATTAACTTTTAATGTAAGCCTTAAAATCTTTCTTATTTTCATTTTACAAATGAGACTTCTTAATTTCCACCCCTAACCCCACCCTTCCCTATCCAGTGTATAGTTTTCTAACTAGCCTCCAGCAAGAACCGGTCTGATAAAACAAACAGCCTAAATCTTTCCACGGGTACCGCTGAGGTTCTGTCCTTGTTGGGTGACTGTTTTTACGTTTGGGTTCTTGTCTGAGGAACTTAAAAGGAGTTCAGTCTATTTGGTAAAAGCAGAACATTGTCAGCAGTTTGGAGGTTTTGCAAAGCGAACTATTGCTAAAGCTAAATTATTTATTTATTTTTAACCTGTCCTGTCCTGGCAGTTGAAGCAGACTGAATGGTTGATATGTATGTGTGTGTGTGTGTGTGTGTGTGTGTGTGTGTGTGTGTGTGTGTGTGTGTGTGTGTGTGTGTGTGTGTGTGTGTGTGTGTGTGTGTGTGTGTGTGTGTGTGTGTGTGTTTGTTTGTTTGTTTGTTTGAGGAAGGGGCAGCCCAGGTCCAACCAGCTCTAGTGGCTGATAGCCACCCAAGGAGAACTAGCTTACATGCATCATGATCACACTAAACCATCACAAATAGGCTAACCCTTGCTTCCATCTAGAAGTGAGTGCACATTTTATTTAGCTACATTGACGAGCTGAGTGAACAGTTCTTAAGTTGATCCGCGGTGGGAATTAGGAGCCACATGCTGAATATTTGTCAAGTAGTTTTGTAATATAATCACTTTGATCCTGTGGCACCCAGAGTCTTTGAGTCATTTTTTACTCCTCACGTGGCTCATGATGAGGTACATACTGAGCTGTGACTAATAATGGCATTCATAAGTATGAGTAAATGGCCTGTATTTGATATAGCACCTTCTAGAGTCCTGGAACCCCCCAAGGTGCTTTACAACACAATCAGTTATTCACCCATTCACACCCTGGTGGTGATGAGCTACGATGTAGCCACAGCTGCCCTGGGGTGCACTGACAGAGGCGAGGCCTACTGAACACTGGCGCTACCGGTCCCTCCGACCACCACCAGCAGCAAGGTGGGTTAAGTGTCTTGCCCAAAGACACAACGACAGCAACAGACTGAGCGGGGCTCGAACCTGCACCCTTCTGATTATGGGGCACTTAACTCCTGTGCCACCATTTCCCCAGTGAGTATTTGTAATCATACGTAATTTAATTTTGTTTGTACTCTGAGAAAATGTAGCACCAGTGCACCCCCGCTGTGTACTTAGCCACATACTTAAAATGCACCGCCCAACAGTAGCAGTGTGGGCTGAGAGCCAGTTACGTGACATTGAAGCAAGGTTGAAAGACAGAGCAGCACGTGAAGACAAAGATGGCCAGATAGATGGTAGAGAGCTGAAACTGTGTTTAGTTTAGAAAAAGACAAACAGAGGCTAGAAAGGCTGATTGTATGAGGAGAGAAGGTGGGTGCAGAGGGAATGAGTGATTGAGAAACAAAGTGATGGATGAGATGAAAGCAGCAGTGAAATGATGATTGTCTGATGGATGAGACGACAGGGAAATGGAGAGATAAAGGGAGACAGATGAGTAGATGAGTGAAGGCAGTTGGACTTTGCCTCTGGGACCTTGTTTTTGTCTTTTATAGCAACATTTGTGGAGATTATGATGGTAATAACGCTGCTTTCGTCTTTATATTTGACTGATAGCCACGCTCACAGACAGAGATCAGGCTGAACTTGGATGCCTTTGACGGTCATTATCAGAATGATTCCTGGGATCTTTTCAGGCTAAATTCTAAAGTAGAGATCCGACACAAAGATTGTTGTTGTTCTGCTTGTCTCATTACCACAATAAAACACACCCTGGATGTGTTTTCAGATGAAAACCATTTTCTGCTGCTTTTAACAACCATTCATATGAAGTGCGTCGCTGTTTAATGGAAGTTTCTCACAGCCAAAGAAGAGCTAACTTCTAAATTTGCTGGAAGCACTCAAGGGTCTACTCCACCCTCTGGGTCTAAACGTGGAATAACCAGCTGACTTAACTGAAATTCAGTAGCTTCTGATTCATACCCCACATTTAACTCAGTCCTCACATACTTTCTGGTACCAACAGTATCATAAGTTTTAAAACAAAACATTCTTAATCAGTCAAATGATTTCCAAATCCTTCATTAGAAGATGATCGCTGCAATGTTCATGTCTCACATTGGACCCCCCAGTACCACCTGAGCCTGGTTTAAACCCCACAGCCTACGAGTATTGGTGCTGACCATGCCCATCCCTTTATGACCGCATGGATCCATCTTCTGATGCTACTTCCAGTGGGATAAAGCACCATGTCACAAAGCTCAGATCATCTCTAACTGGTTTCTAGAACATTACCATGAGTTCAATGCACTCCAAAGACTTCCACAGTCACCAGATCTCAGTCCAGTCCAGAACCTTTGGGATGTGGTGGAACAGGAGGGTCTCATCATGGATGGAGCTGATGTCATGTCAGGATGGACCAGAACCTCTAAAAATGGTTTCCAACACCTGGTTGGGTCTGTTATATCATGAATTAGGGTGGATCTGACGAAAAATAGAAGTCCAACCTGATGATGTTTGTAGTGACCTGAGCTATAACTGCCATTTAAATTAACATTAAAAAATAATACTACACACATACACACACATGTCTCACCTTAACATGCTGATTTAAAGTCTTTAAAGAGCAACACACACCTTGAAGGTCCTAATGGGATGTAGATTAAAAGTTTTTTTTCATAGCTGTATTAACACTTGACTTAGATTCAACTGCAGCTCTCCCCGTTGACATTTTATAAAAATATTCTTAATTATATCCTCAGTTTAACACATCCACTGGTTTTGTGAAAGGCTTTAGATAAATCTAGGTTTTCATTAACTCACGTCATGCAAAAGGATGGAAGCTAACCCTACTCCGTTGCCTGTGTTACCCGTAGGTGCGTAAATACCTGCTGATGCTGGACGTCAGGAAGGACCACATCAAGTTCTGGAGGCCTCAGATCCTTCTGATGGTGTCCAACCCCCGCAGCACTGTAGGCCTGATCACCTTCATCAATGACATCAAGAAGAGTGGCCTCTATGTGCTGGGACACGTCCAGCTGGGAGACCTCAGTAAGAACACCAACATTCAGCTCAGCCACCTCTATCTCTCATAGCTCAGATGAATCTGAGTCTCACTGTTTCTGAAGGCAATCACTTGAGTATTTCCAAGTGTGAGGGTCACTGATTGACCTTTTCTTTGTCATTGGAGGACACAGCGTTGAGGAGCTTCTTTGGAGTTCTACACATAAAAAAGGCTGTGAATCAGCTGCCCTTCTCTTTTTTTAACAAACCACATAAAGGAGTTATTTATTTACGCTAACAGGATCATGTTGTGGACTTTTACATCATGCTGCTGCTGCTGTGGTTTCTATTAATTTGTTTCTTCTTAAAGACGTTCCTCATGGATGTTGTAAAACTAAATGAACATTTAATAACAGTCACATCAAGGCCTAAAATGGGTTACAGTAGAGCAGAGGCCCATAGAAGTATCCTGTAGTTGTCTACTGGCATCCATGCTGCTGTTTTTAGGAATGACTGATTACCTGCCGGCCTGTTTCTTTGCTCCGTCTCACATTCTGTCTAAGCGGTTATTTGTGTTTGGACCTTTTTTTCTCTCTGCGCCTCCGACCACATCACAACATCTTGTCTTTCCATCCCAACCACAGTGACTCTTTGAAATGTGACTCTCCTGGGACCTGTCTTTTTTTTTGTCTATACCATACCATACCATACCATACCATACCATACCATACCATACCAACTTTATTTCTATAGCAAAATTGAAGACACAGCTTGAGAGCTGACCAAGGTGCTGAACAAGCAGGATCAGTTAAAACAAAAAAGAAAAAAAAAACAATAAGAAGATAAAACACAGCAATAAAACTATAAAATCATGCTACAATAACATGAATCACTGTCTAAAAGCCAACTCATAACAGTAGGTTTTTTAATGAGATTTAAAAACAGGCAGAGAGGATGCCAGCCTAACTGTAATGGGCAATGAGTTCCAGAGCATGGAGGCAGCATGGACAAACGCACGTTCACCTCGTGATTTGTAGGACATCCGGGGAATGCAAAGCAGTAGACGGTCAGCTGACCTCAACATACGAGTAGGTACATTATCATATGTTTTTGCTTCAGGTCAGAAGATCCAGCTGCTCAGGCATGTTTCCTACCACCTTAATGCTGAGGGGGTTCAGCTGTGCTGCTCATTTAGTCCCACTGAAGCACATAAAGACTCAACTGTCAGACTCAACTAAAAGTTTTATTAATAAAATCACTGCATTATTGGGGCCGTTTCTGCCATTAAACAGTAACTAGGTAACCCGGTTATGTGTAAATGAGGTGTCATTTTGGATGAAGCCATGGAGTATCACCTAAAACGGTTAATTGAGAATTGTTTTTATTTATTTTGTTTTTTAATCTGTGGAACATTCCAGAACTCTGATCAGTCATTTAAAGAGGTCATATCATGGAAAATCCACTTTTTGGAACTTTTTACCATGTGATATTTTTATTTCCCCATGAAATAAAGAACCAGCTGTCTCAGCTGCAAATTTTGAGTTTTGTAAAGCGTCAAGGGAAACTAATTTCATCATCAGGCCCTGCTGCTCTCCTGGAAGCTGGTCTGAAACCTGTCTCCCCTGGCCAGCACAGGATATGTGGCGAAGGCGACTGCTTTCATGTAGCTGACTTGATAGTCCGGTGGTTAGAGTGCTGGGCTGGTATGTAATTTAGCACAGATTAGCATCCCGGCCCAAAGTTTCCCTCAGAAAATGAGTTAAGCCTGGCGGATTTGGTGGGAAGAAGAAATCCACGCTGATGAGACATTACAGAGAAAAAGTCGATACACATCAGAAAGCTCTGGTCATCCTTCTGCTGCTGAACAGTTTTTCCTCCTTCCTGTCGTCTCACAGCGCTTTGTGTGTCCTCCCTTCCAGGCACTTTACCGTCCGACCCCCTGCAGTCCCAGTATGACTCCTGGCTGTCGCTGGTGGATCATCTGAACATCAAAGCCTTTGTAAACCTGACGCTGGCTGATTCTGTGCGTCATGGTGTCCAGCACCTCCTCTTCATCTCAGGACTGGGTCAGTGCCACATCCAGCAACACACGTTTGTTGTAAAAGCTTCAACGATCTCTGGGAACGTTGTAGAAAATATTTCTGGAGTTCTAATCCTTTTGTATCAGCCGCTGTTCCTTTAAGGACTTTTTGCTGACTCACTGGAGGCCTTTTAGCAGCTTCTCTCTCTCTCAGGTGTTCTTGTCTTTATTTTTTCTGTCTGCTGGCCTTCTGCTCCCTGAATCGTTTCTAACTTTGTCTACTCTGGTGTGCTCTTCCCATTTCCCCCTGTCTCTCTTTGGCTCCGGTCCCAGTTCTCAGTCCAGAGCTGGACCTAGACCTTCCTCACTTCGTCAGATAGAATAAGTGAACCTCCATCTTCCTTTTACCCAACATAAAAACACAAACCAACAGAAATGACGACTCCTACCGTCTCATTCAGTTTACTGTTTGTGATATTTTAGGTGGGATGCGCCCCAACACCTTGGTGCTCGGCTTCTATGATGACTGTCTTCCGAGAGACAAGTTGATTGACCCCACCCTGACCTCCAGTGAGTCCCCGAATCCCTTCAACCCCTCCCAGGACCTTGAGGAGCCTCCTCTGTTCCACTTCGCCTCCCTGAGGGGGTCCAGCGATGGACAGGATTATGGTGAATTTGGGAACGGCAAAGCTTTAGGCCCCCAGGAGTACGTGGCAATCATTAGTGATGCCATGAAGATGCTGAAGAGCGTGGTGCTAGCACGATACTTCAACGACTTTGAGCGAGCTCAAGTCACCTCCCCTCCCTCGTCGACTTCAGGGAAGGTGTTTGTGGATGTGTGGCCCGTAAACCTCCTCCGTCCAGACAGCAGCAGCTACGTCGACACCTGCTCTCTGTTCCTGCTGCAGCTGGCGTGTATCCTCAACATGGTGAGAGACTGGCGCAAAGCTAAGCTCCGCCTCTTCCTGTGTGTGGAGGAAGGGAGGAGCGTGAGAGGCTCGGAGGAGAAGCTTGGCCAGCTGCTGAAGGAGTTGAGAATTAAAGCTAAGGTGCAGACCGTGCCGTGGGACCAGGTGGTGGCACTCCACTGGCAGCGCCAAGATGGGTGGAGCAAGAAGCAGCAGTCGCAGCCTCCGGACATCGACACAGACGAAGACACAGCAGGGGCCGTGGAAGAGGAGAACGAAGAGGATTACGTTAACAGCTTCCCAAGCAACGCCACACGAGTGTCTGACGACTACATGTCAGCTGTTAACAGGCTGATCCTGGATCAGGCCCAGCCACCTCCAGCTGTGCGTTTCCTTTACTTGCCCCGCCCTCCTGCCGACACTCGCCGCTACGCTGCGTATTTACGTCAGCTGGAGCTGCTGACTCAGGATTTGGGACCTACACTCCTCATCCATGGCATCACTCCAGTCATCACCACTGACCTTTGACCTCAGCTGGTCTTGTTCTGCGCCGAGAACTCAGTTTCTCTCTATCATCGTGACATTTTTAACCTTTTCTCTGTAGTCCCTGTTTTCTGCCTCCTCACTGAGCTCCAGGAGAAACCGCCTCGCTGTGGTTTCAGCTCCATCAGACAAATCCCTCCTAACGAACCATTTCAAGTGCCTTTCTACTTAGTGTTCAATTGGAGCAGTTGTTTGCTTTTAACATATTGTGAGCTTACATTAAAGACATCCTGTGGAAAAGTTGCAGAGGTTCTGCTAAAGTTTGGTTTTAAAGATTTTATTTGCAAATTAGATTTTATTTGGAATTTCAAGATGATGCATTTCTGTCTTTGCCAAAATGGTTTGCAGATTTTCTAGATGACCAGCAGTGGCCATTTTTATTTATCCTGCTGATTCAGCCTCATGCTGTTTTATCTGCATTATTTCAGAATAAATACCAAAGTTTTGTAAAATCTGCTGAATCGTGTGGAACAAATGTAATAAATAATGTTTCATGTCCTCTTTGACACTTTATATTGTCTGTAACAAAAACCTGATCTAAAAAATAACATGCTGAATGTCAGACGTCCCGCGGGCTTCAGCACCTCTGAGGTCCAGATCCAGGCTTGGACAGAGCCTGGAGCTCGGGTTTCAGTCCAACTTGACTCACCTTGTTTGTTTTTGTAATGGCATTTGTTTACTTGCTATGTCCAACGTGTTTCTGGAGTGGACCTCTCCACTGGGCACCACACTCCTCCACCAACTACCGACACTATGTTGCTCCACACCTTAGTCCTGGATCCAAACCAGAGGACAACATGACACTCCGGGGGACATTTTGATCAGAAAATGAGACTTTCTGAATAAACTGTACAAGAAGTTGATTACAATCACAAAACAAATAAATTCTCAATTATTGTTTTGCTTATCTTTGTGATTCTTAACAGAAGCTGTTGATCAAATTCAACAGTGACTGAGGGTGATGATATACTGAGTCCAGCTGACTAGCAGTCTTGAGAATTTCCAACAGGTAGCCTGTGTGTGTGTGTGTGTGTGTGTGTGTGTGTGTGTGTGTATATATATATATATATATATATATATATATATATATATATATATATATATATATATATATATACTTGTTTGTATAAGGTAAAGTTGAGAAATAAGACCTGAACTAGCTCCAACAGAGACACAAAGGGGGTCAGCCAGCCAAATTACCTTGTCCTACTGTCTCACTGCCAAGCAGACAGAAATGGATTTCATCTCTGGGCTGAGGACAACAGACTGGAGAAGAAAAAAAAAAACACTGATATCTGTTCAGGAGGAGAGAGGCTGGCATTTGTCACAGAGTGAAAGACTCAACCCTAAAAGGCGTCAGTGTGTTGGCATGTGCACACCAGAAAAAACAGGTTCACAATAAAAAAAATACAAGATTATTTGATAGTAAATAACGTTCATGCAGAAAAGCTCTAATGTCAGTAAACTGGACGTGTTTTATCAAAGATCAGATTTAGAACACTGGATTGAACACCTTTAGCACAGAAACCCAACTACTGATTTTGTAGAGATAAGTAAACATCAAAGCAGGGTCTCAACAAACAAATCAGACACTTTTTTGTTTGTGTTTTCAGTCTAAAATTTAAGCAGCCTTATCTGTTAGATCCCGGACAAGCCCCCAAAATTGTGTAGAAATGAAATTGAAACTGAACTGAGTTGAGCTAAGTTAAAATAAGATATTTTACCATTAATTTTTAATCCTATTAAAGCCAGAATTCTGGAGCTAGTAGCTGATGCAAGAGTTTAGCGGGTACCGGCATAACTAACGGTCAGACCTTTAAGATCATTCATCACTTCCAGCGTCTGAATGCAACACATTGACAAGGTCACATGATTCTTTTAGTAACTTTATACAAACTAATCTAAACTAGGTTCTGCCTCAAGTGGACGAGTTTAAGTATCTCAGGGTCTTGTTCACAAATGAGGGTAAGATGGATTGGAAAATTGAAACATTGATGTGTTATCTCCACAAATAACATACATCTGGATGTGTTTTACTATGGTGTTGAATTGCTAAAGGGAGCCTAAGTCTCCTCCCTTTCCAGTCAGCTCATGGGTCCATGGAAGAACTAAAAAATGAATGCATGTCAATGAGGCTAAAAACGCTATTTTCTAATCCGCATGTCCTCACGCCCTGGAACACACGTGTTGTACTTCAATTTAAATGAAAACTAAGGATGTGAGTTTTGCCCACGCCTGTCACGTACTTTGACATATATCAGCTTGTAAAGTTCATAATTAGCATGACTACAAATCAGACATCGGTACGTCGCATATAAGACATCACCACAGAATCTCCTCCCCCCTAGCGTAGCTGTATGTGGTAAGTAGCAGCGTAGCCAGATTTATGGTGGGTCTTTCCTCCTGAAAGAAGGATTTGAAGTTTGCAGAACTTACAGCGATTTTCCCTGTTTTTCTCTGTGTCTGGTTCGATGACGTCACTTTCGTGAAGCGCATTTGTAGTTGTTTATCAAACACCTAATACCTGCAGTCTGGACTTATTTTCACATAAAACCTTTGACAGGTTGTAACCTGTCAATGTAACAGGGGGAAATGTAATTTCCCCCTGTTCGAAAATAAGCACGTTCTTGGTAGCAAAATGTTCCTTTAAAATTCACTGACATCATATGTGAAATCCATGGCACATAACAAGCGGAAATAGAAAATTGTGTTTTAAGCCCCATTGATTTGAGTTATTTCGTTTTTCCGGGGACCCATGGTCTGGAAGTAAATGGGCGTGACTTAGGCTCCCTATCGCTAATGGTTTGCTTCTATTAGCCAAGATATGCTGGCAGCGAATTCAAAGACAAGCTGGGCAGAGTCATGAATGCAAATTTACAGTGCTCAGAGGAACTGATAATGTTTCAAAAAGAACAAGTATTACATGGTTCCTCAGTGGTTGAGTCCTTTAAGCATCTTCTAAAACTAAATGTAAATATGGGACATGTGCATTGCTACATATCCTGTGCACCATAATGTTTTTTTGTCATTGCTGGGCCAGTGAGAAATTAGATGAGGATAAAAGAGCCGTTTCATCTTCTGAGTACTCTCTTCTGTTCTGGTTGCACAAAGCATCAGCTAGTCCAGTAAAATGTAGAAAGACTCGACTAAGCACCCAACTGTAAAGGCTAAATGAGAAGTCAAAGTTGTGGAGAACACAAGTTGACACAGTAGTTATTATAAAAGGATGGAGTTTATTTCAAGGACCAAGACGACATTTAAATGAACTGAAAGGAGCTCACGTTGTGGAGGATAAATGGAGATTAAAAGAAAAGGTGGGAATAAATTTTAATATGGAAGTTATGAGAGGGAGGTTATTGTAGGTTGCCGACATGGGCTCTCAGCATGCTTGAGTTACATATAAAATGAGCCAAGGCTATAACACCAATTAATTTCCACAACTCAAGGACACATAAGCCTGTCACGGTGTTGCTGAGTGAAATGATTAAAGAAAAGGAACAGACATACCACTGAACTAACTCAGCATCACAAAGTGTCTCTACTAATGTTTAACAGGAGAGAGGTTTTTCTGCTTGGGGAGGAACTGCTCATGTTGGATGTTGCTCAATGTTTTTATTCCAGAGATACATTATGGGTGTTTCTTGAGGCCAGGTGCCTTGCTTACGAGGACACGGTCCTTCCTTGGTCAAAGAAAACGGTTAAATGGAACAGACTTGCATCACGTGACCGCGGCTTCCACGGCGGTCACGTAATGCCACGTGACACGGGAGACATTGTTATATTTTATAGGTATAAGTTTCGATATAAATATATAACGAGCCTTTTACTTTTTAAATTGTGTATATGCTTATTAAATTAAATATATAAGCAAGTTACTACCCGCTAGCCAGTGACGCTGCAACTACTAAGCAACTAACCAACCACAGATAACTTCTTTGGATCTAAAAAAAACATTTAAAATTAGTTGACTTACTTTTAAACTTAAAATTGTCCCCTGAAGTAGCTGTCGGCTTCTGATCCGCCGTCCTTTTGAAAATACCGCGGTGTATTCTGGGAAATCTTTGACCAAGGTTAGGCTACAAGACACCTCCCGTGTATCCTTGCTCAGCTAGCTACACGGCTAACTGTTGTTTTATTAGAACTTGTTACACAGTTGCACCAGCAGAGGGCTATAATGCACTTATAAAAAACACAATGTAAAATTACTTTTACAACACTCCCACTAAATTTTACTGTGGCATTTACATACTTAGCTGAAACTTCTCAACCCTTTAGTAAGAACACAGGATTATGTGTAACACAGTTATAAGCCAGTCTTTATATAAAAGTTATAGACCTGTTGAACACACTACACATGTTTTAAACTGGATACAGTCCAATCTCCTCTGAGATACTCAAATTTTTGTTTAGGTAATGGCATGGTTAAGATATCAGCCTTCATCTTATCTGTTGAGCAATACTTCAGCTGTATCTGTCCATTTAGAACACATTCACGAATGTAGTGGTAACGAATGTCAGTGTGCTTTGTTCTTGAGTTATCAATTGGATTCTTTGCGATTGCAATTGCTGCTTGGTTGTCCTCCAGAATCACTGTTGTGTGCTCTTCACGCCAAATTCAGTTAGTAGCCTTCTCAGCCATGTTCCCTCTTGTGCCCACTGGCTTAAAGTAACATACACAGCTTCTGCAGCTGAAAGTGCAACTGTCGCCTGTTTCTTGCTCAGCCGACTGCTCCTCCCGACAGAAGAAAAATGTTTCCAGTTGTAGAGCAACGATCATCCTGATCACCTGCCCATTCAGCATCTGAGAATCCAACCACAGTTCCTGTTTCTGACTGTTGGTATTTGAGTCCCAGGTTTGGTGTACCTTTTAAGTATCTTAAGATTATTTTCACAGCTGTGAGGTGTAGTGTTTGTGTAACCCTGGACCCAGTTAGATAACTTAAGATCAGGAATGTTTAGATAGACCAGCAGCTAGGCTAGGCAGGATTACAATAGGAACTAAGGTGGGTGCAAAAGGAAACGGCAGGAGGCAGGAAATGAGCAAAAATAGAAAATATTTAGTTAGAAAAAATGTGAAACGAGAATACAATTTTAACAATGCAACACTCAGATCAACAACTCTGAGCCGGCCCAAAAAATAAACAAAATAAAACCACAGTCGTATTTTGAACTCAATAGTGGAGTTGTCCTTTTAGTCGTTAGTCAAGCCAAACCGTCTTTCAGTTTCAGGTCTTTCTGGTTCAGTGGTTTGAGTTGTTACCACTTGGTGTTCACATTCAGTGAGAAGAGTGATGGGTCTTCAATCTAAGTGTCTTTGGGCTCTAGGCAAAGGCTCGCCATCTCCATCTGGAGAGAATCCAGGAATCCGATCCAGTTCTTAATTGGCAAGGATAAAAACTTAGCCTGCACAATAATAACGAAATTATTGTACATAACTGTGACAGCAGTGTCTGTCACCTCAGTGACTTGGGCCTAGTCCACACGTAGCCGGGTTTTTTTTAAACGAATATCCGCCCCTCCAAAAACTTGCATCCACACCACCTCGTTTAAAAAAAAACTGTCCACACGTACCCGGATAAATACGTTGTTAAGGACATGCCAGACCTGTAGGCGGCAGTACTTCCCCCGTTGTTAACCTCGTCCTTCGTCTGTGGTCTTCCACAAGGAGCAGTAATTCCGCTTGCAAAAACAAACAAGCAAAAAGCGCTTGGACAATTGATAAAGCGAGCGCAGCTCTGAGGGCATCCATGCTGTCGGCTAGTGTAAACACAGGGCACACACGTGATGTCAGCATTTTTTTTGTCGCGGAAAGTGACGTTGCGGACCTTAAATCTCCGGTTTTATCTGTCCACACGCAGACACCCAAAATGGAGAAAACGCAGATCTTCACTTTAGCC